TCCTATTAGGAGCCAGCATTGGTAGCTCATACTTGTAATCCTTTCTACTCAGGAGGCTGAGATCTGAGGATTGCAGTTCAAAGCCAGCTCAGGTAAGAAAGTCATCCAGACCCCACATTCAAGCCCCAGGACTGGTGTGCACGTGCGTGCATGTGTGTGTGCCTGTGTGCTCACATGTGTGCCCCAGTATGGGTCTTGAACTCAGGGCCTCATGCCCTTGCTCAATTTTTTTGCTTACAGTGGGCACTCTTAACACTTGAGCCATATATCCACTTCCTACTTAAACTTTTTGACTGTTAGTAAAAATGGGAATAACATCTGCATTGCTTACTATAATAATAGTAATAGTAATAGTTAAGGAGCTTCACAAATAGCAATACAGTTTGTAGAAATAAAGAGGCTGATTCAGGTTTGTGTCATTTAAATTTTTTGATTCAGAATAATGCTATATCTTCCAGGCCACCAAAATGAGATCTTCAAAGCACTCTCATTATCTGGCCTGATAAGATTTTCACTCATGGGAAGCTGTTGCTCATATCATTACTCAATGAGCTTTTGTTTGTTTTTTATACCAGTACTAGGGCTTGGATTCAGTGCTTCATTCTCTGGCTTGTGTTTTCTAATGGCTTGTGTTCTACCATTTGAGGCTTGCCTCCAGCTCCTTGTTTTTTTTGGCAATATTAGACTGAGGGACTCAAGATTTCTAGGCAAACACTACCATTTGAACCATAACCTCAATTCCCATACATTCATTTAAAGAATGTTTACAGGTGCTAAACAGTAAGGATAATGACAACCAACTCACAGTCTCTCCCCTTATGCGATATAAAATGTGATGGGAGGGGCTGGGAAGGTGGCTCAGTGGTAGAGCGCTTGCCTTGCATGCATGAGGCCCTGGGTTCGATTCCCCAGCACCACATAAGCAAAAAGAAAAAAAGCCGGAAGTGGCGCTGTGGCTCAAATGGTAGAGTACTAGCCTTGAGCTGAAGAGCTTAGGGACAGCACCCAGGCCCAGAGTTCAGGCCCCACGACCCTCCCCCACCCCACCGCAAAAAAAAAATGTGATGGGAAAGTAAAGAGACAAGTAGGGTAATTACAGAGTGTGGTAAGTGCTATGAAGGAAAGAAGTTACTATGGTAAGAAATAAAAGGGAACTATCTGCTCAGCATAGGGGCACAAGCCTTTAATCTAGCTACTCAGGAGGCTCAAACAGGAGGATCACAAGTTTAAGGCCTATCTGGGAAAGTCAGTGAAACAGACTTTGTCTCAGATTTTTTAATGGGATGGAGACATAGCTCAGTGACATAGCATTTGCTTGCTATGTGTGAGGCCCTGTGTTCAATCCCTAGTAGTGCAAAAGAGAAGGGGGAATCTATGTAGCAAGGGTTATCAGGGGAGGCTCACTGTGAAGATGACACTGAAGTGATGTCTCCATAAAGAGCAAGAGTAAGGCAATGCCATAAAGTAAAAGCAAGAAAGAGCTGAAGGTATTGAGGAAGAGGAGGATTTGCAAAACTCCAGGTAGATAACAAATGTGGAAGCCAGACTATTAAAAGATGCTGTGGTAAGGAGCTGCTATTTTATTCTGAGTACAACAGAAATCCATGGCAGGTTTTAAGGGAGATTTGTTTTCTTTTTTTCTTTTTGCTTTTGAGATGTGTTTTACCAGGTTGATCTTGAACTGGATCCTCCTGCTTCAACTCTTAAATGCTGGGATTATGGATATTTATCACCATGCTTAATTTGTTTTGCATTTTAAAACGAGTACTCTGGCCCAGTGCCAGATTGGTGGCTCTGCATGGTGGCTCATGTCTGTAATCCTAGCTACTCAGAAAGCTGCCAGCTTGGGCAGAGAAGTCCTTGAGACCCTTATCTCCAAACAACTACTCAGAAAAAGCTGTTGCTCAAGTGGTAGAATGCTAGCCTTGAGCAAAAGATGCTCAGAGACAGCACCCAGGCCAAGTTCAAGCTCCAGGACCAGTGTGTGTGATGCGAGTGCGCACACACACAAAGTACTCTGATGAGAAATAGATTGAAGTAGCAAAGTTACTAGTAGGATATTTAGATACTATTGCTGATTTGGGTGAGAGATGATGGCAGAAGTGGTATGCAGATTATATACTCCCTATGTGCTTGTTTCCCATGTTAAAATACAGAGGTCAGACTCAACCAGGAGGCTAAATTACAATCTCATATCTAGACATGACCTAGGACATACTGAATGAGAATCTCTGTAAGGACATATATTTTGTCAATACTGAGGTTTGAACTCAGAGCCTCATGACTGGTAGGCAAGTACATATGAACTGCCCTTTTTGCCTTTTTTTTTTTTTTTGAAGGCTGACCTCAGACTTTATTTCCCAGTTATCTGGTAGTATAGGTGTGAAATGCATTGTGCAACCCTCCACAAAGAAATACATAGTTTTGAAAAGTGGTTCTGCTACATTGTATGTTTGCAAACCACAGAACCAGATGATTGCTACCCTCCCTTTCAAAATGAAGTACTGGAACCTCGATAGGTGCTTCAAATGCTTTTAGAGCGAGGAATAAAGTATGAGAAATATGTCATCTGTGAACCTAGATCTTTTAAGAATTTAAAACAAAAACCTCCCCTGCTAAGGCTGGTCAAACACAACAAGATCCAAGAGCAGAAATTGAGTAATTTGCCTGTTTAGGCATTTTATCATGAGTCCTCAAAGGACAAAATATGCTGTGACTGCCCCTTCCTGAAGGCAAATTTTTATCACCACCATCACCCCATCTATCCACCTATTCATAACACACTGTGTCCAATGTCAATCTTACAGAGAGGGTGTGCAGGCTTATCACTGAGGAGCTTAGCGAGACAGGAAGACAAATGGTAGAGAGTATGTGAAATACTCTAACAGCAGATAGAAGGGATGACAGAAATATACAGAAATATACAAATGGGGATAATCATCTGGGATGAGGAATGGATGAGTAGAGCATTTCAAAGATGAAGCTATGTTTATGCTGGGCCCCAAATATATTGGAATTCATCAGATGTAAGGAAATACATATAAAAGTAATGAGGTACTATAGAAAATAAAATGACATGTTCAGGCAAAAAAAAAAGACACTTTGGAGAAGAAAGTGGGACAAAATCACAAAGGCCTAGTTAAGATTCTATCTTGAGGTAGGTGCAATAAATCTTCTGAGGGTTTCTGCTTTAGAGGAAGATTGGGTTTCCACTTTAGACAAAAGTCCTTTGGTTTCATGGTAGAGAACCAATAGGCAAAGCCCAGTTCTTTAAAGGTGACACAAATCTGGAGATAAAATGCAGACTAACAACAACAAAGCAGGGTACCCTACTAGGTGTTATACAGTTTATTAATTTGAGAGCAACAGGAAGCTACTGAAGGAGAAAGAGATGATGGCTGTGTAATAGGTGTCTGATAAAAAGCAGGAGTTTTGGAGTTGGGAGTGTATATACAGAAAGAAAAACAAACCAACAAGACTGAAAATGAGATGTCATGGCGGCCTAGATTCTGGTAGAATACAGGAAATGATAGCTGGGTGGTAGTGCCTCACACCTCTAATCCTAGTTACTCAGAAGGCTGAGAACGGAGAATCGAGATTGAAAGCCAGCAAGGCAGAGAAGTCCGGGAGACTTTTATCTCCAATGAACCACCAGAAGTGGAGCTGTAGCTCAAGTGGCAGAGTACCAACACACACACACACACACACACACACACACACACACACACAGATGAACAGTGTTCCGTCGGGACTGTATTTTTTCTAAGTTTGCTGACAGGTTGGATATGAGGTGAAGGAGTCAAAGCATTTTTCTGGTTGAAGCACTGAACTCTGCAGTGGATGGTGATGCCACCTAAGATGGGCACCTCCTGAGAATTTACTCTGTAATAATTTATGAAGCACTTTACATGCATTAATTCTTCTTTGTGGCAGGCCTAAGATTCAACCCCTGTGAAGCTCAAAACAAGGCTAAGGCTTTGAATGTTATAGCTTGTTCTGAGAACCATCAGTAGAGAGGAGAGCTGGGAAGAAAAGTGAAGAGCCAAGAAGGGCTCTGGATCAAACTAAGACGTTTGAAACACGTATATTGTTCATTCGTGCGGGGGCGCAGAGCTGACAGCTGACAGATCGCGCAGGCTTCGCAGGCGATCCACCTGAGCCCACACGCCCAGGCCCAAAGTTCGAGGTGTGTTCGAAGTCCCAGACAACTTGATAAGCAGCATCAGTGCTGAAAGATGAAGCTGGAAGCTGTGTAGAAAACAGACTGCAGAGAGACCGGAAGGAGGTGGAGAGGGTGGAGTTGGGGCCGGAGTTATGGTGGCTGGGAGGCTGGCGACACGGTGGGAGGAAAGAAGCACGCGGACTGGAGATAGGTTCGTAAGGAGGTCGTGGGGGGATAAGTGACAGCGGTGACCGTTCCGATCCAGTCCTCTCCACACTCAGGAGCTCAGTGCCGCTCCCTTCCCGGGGCGGTGGGAGGCGGCTGGCCGCGACCGGGAGCGGGCAGCGGGCACGGGCAGCGGGCCGGGCACGGGCTGCGCAGACAAGAGCGCGCCGGGACGCCGACGAGGCTCGGAGAGCTGGCGCGGGGCCCTTCAGCCCGCCCTTGTTATCGGAACGCCACCACGGAACTGCCGGAGGACCGAGAGGCCAGGGGTCCCGCGGGCCCCGGCCACAGCGCCCACCGCCTCCCAGGACAAGGGTTGCGGGAGGCGGCGCCGCGGCACCCGCTCAGCGGAAAGGCGAGCTGCGCCCCGGGCGGGGCCGGGCTATTGCGCCTGCGCGGGGGTGCCGCGCGCAGTCACGCGCCGCCGGCCGCTTCCGGCGCGCCGCGAGGGCCGCCGGGACGGGTCCTCCTGGCGTTCCGTGGTGTGCCGCCGCTGCCGCCCCTGCCGCCACCGGACCGCTGCCGCGCCGACGCCGGTGTCCCTGCTGGCTTCCTCGGGCTCCCCGGGGCCTGACCCCCGGGGCCCTCGGCAGGCGCCGGTCGAGAGGCTGAGGAGCGAGCCAGTGCTCCGGCAGTCTCCACGACCCTGCGTCGCGATTCCGCTGCGGGGACCGCGAGGGGTGGTCGCGACTCCGCGCCGAGTGTCGCCGGGCCGGGCCGGGGCTCCCCCAGCCCCCGGGATGCGTGCGCGAGCCCTCGCCTCCTCTTCCTCGTCGCCGCTGTCAGGACCGGAGCCGCCTCTCGCCGGCAGCGGGGAGCGCGAGCGCGCCGGCCAGCCCCCTCGACGCGCCCCGGGGCCGGGGGCCTCCGGGAATGTGAGCCGCGCGACCCGCGCCCTCCTCCGGGTAAGTCCCTCCCGCCCGCCCGGGCCGGCCGCGCCGCCGCGGCTCCCGGCTCCGCGACCCGCTCCCCCAGCCGTGGAGCCGGGCCAGCCCGCCTCCGGGGCCTCGCCTCGCAGTCCGTACCGTCGGCGCGTCCCAGCCCGGGCTTCCCCAAGGCCAGTGGCCCGCGGAGGAGCTGTCAACCCCCTCCTCCCCCCCTCGGGGGGTTCCGGGCGGGATCCGACGGGACGGTGGGGGTGTGCCTCGTATTTCACGTGCTGCTCCTCTTTGTTTTGCAGATGAGAAAATTAAGAGGGGTAAGTGGATGGCTGAAGGTTTTAGGATTTCGTGGTGGAGCTGCTTGTGTATGCAGCGGTAGAGCCTAAATCATTACACCGAGCATCGCTCTGCCCTTCAGAGCCCTGCTTTTTAACCTTCACAGTAGTCTGCCTTTCTTCATATTGCTGCACTGAGGCCTAGGGTCTCAAAAGATACTTGTGAAGCCAAATCTCAGGCTACTCCCTGCCTGCCTCCACCCCAACGTAGTTGTAATGACTTTGGTTTTAAACCTTACATGTCATTCTAAACTGGTGGTCTTCTTGAAGTTACTGCTTTCTCTATAGGCTTTCAAGGGCTAGGAAGTCAATTATTGACTTAACTCCAGCTTCCCTAACCCTTTGGCCTTTTGTTTACCCAGCCAAGTTGTGGACTGTTCTCTTCCTGGGTTGGCACAATGGCAGTTAGAATGCAGATTTTTTTTGTGTGTGTGTGAGGTTTTAGGGGAGGGGGAAATAAGAGAATTCAGAGATGACACAGAGCTATAAAGGACCTTAGGAATAATACGTTCTCAACCTGGATAAAATCTTTAGAATTAGAGTTGAAATACTGTGTCAACATTTTCAAAGGGAGGGTTTTTAGCGTTCACCACATCATTAAAAGGATTGTTGCATCTCAGAACTTGGCCACTGAGTTTATCCTCAGATTAGAAACAGCTGAAATTTAGGATGTGGAATACACACAGAAATCACATGGTGAGAATTTAGACTTGAATCCAGGTCTTCAGAGTTCACTTAAAATTCTGTTTCTCATTATCTTTGGCTACCTTATCATTTGTAGAGTGAGTTGTAAATGAAATACAGCTGAGCTTTGTACTGTACCCATTAGTCCCGTGTTTATGATAAGAACTTTCTAGAATCCTCAATATCCTGACAGATTTTAAGAAGCAATCATATTTCTCTCATAAAATTCAGATGGATTCTGAGAACTTTTTTTCCTTCAAGGATTGAAGTTGGTAAGACTCTACCTTAGTACTTCACTAGTAGTGATTCAGGTTTTTACCTAGGCATGAAAGTTGCTAGTGGATTTTCTGTATTTTAGGCCAGCCCCAGAGAGCTAGTGTTGGTATGACTGGTTACAGTTTGGACTGTTGTCCAATGAAACAGTTTAGTCCTGAAGTCACACTAGCCCTATTTCAAGTGTCTAGCAACGACATGTGTATAGTGGCTACTACCTTGAGCAGCCTAGAATCTTTCTCTCCTAGTTTCTTTTTTTTTTTCTCTCCTAGTTTCTTTCTTATTCAGTAAATATTATTGAATAGTTTTAATGGAAAGGATTGCAAGTTGAGATAAGTAGCAATGTTGGCATTATGAGAAAGAGCCAGGGAGTTGCATTTTTAAAATTAAAATCAAGTCTACATTTAAGCCTGGTAGTCTTGGGCAGGTTGTTAAATATCTCCCCCCAGATAGTTGTATTTAATTTGTGTAGCACAAGTAGAGTTTGTCTATTAAATCCTTTTGAGTCTTGTCTCAATGAGATGTGTGTGTGTGTGTGTGTGTGTGTGTGTGTGTGTGTGTGTGTGTGTGTGTGTGGAGGGGGGAGTGGGGAGGAGGAGAAGACTAACAGTTAAAAGATCTACCCTCAAGTCACACAAGCTAGCAAGAGTGTAAAGAAATGTTTTTTTCCCTGATCCTGGGGCTTGAACTCAGGGCCTGGGCACTGCCCTTGAGTCTCTACCACTTGAGCTACAGCTCCACTTTTGGCTTTTTCTGATTATGTGGTACAGAGGAATTGAACCCAGGGCTTCATGCATGCTAGGCAAGTTACTCTACCGCTAAGCCACATTCCTAGCCCCAAGAAATCTCTTGTATTGGTTCTTACTGAATGTTTGAATGGATGACTATGGTGGTAAAACATAAGGGAGGGGCCAGAACTTTTAACTACTAGCTGGTATTCTTATTGCCTGTTTAATATGGGTCCTTGTTATGTGAGACTGATACTCTCTGAGGTGATGGATTATTGTATCCCATGAGTGAATGTAAATGAAAAGGCTGTCTGAGCCAGTGCCTAATCAGAAGAATCACCTGAGGCATTTATTAAGCATTCAGATTTTCATTTTCAGTGGGTGTTTTTAACATCATTTGAGGGCCTTATAAAATGATCAGTCCAAGCAGGCAGCTGAAAGCAGCCATCAAGAAACATCCAAGGTGATTAACACAGTGTCTGTCTTATCATGTATCAAATGACTTTGTGGGCCTTCTGTGGGCCAGATCTTTCCTGCCTCTCCTAGAGATTGATTCAGAGGACTGAGTAGAGCCTTGGAATCTGGATGTTTATCAAGTCCCTGTGTGCTTCTTAGGATCTTGAATTTAGGAAATAGCTAACTAAGCCTTAAAGTCCAACAGAGGTAAGGGATTATTTGATCTGGAAGCTGTTGGCCCTTGTAGGATGGATTCTTAAAATACTATGTTTGATTTTCCTCTAGCCATGGATGCATCATATGATGGTACTGAGGTAACTGTCCTGATGGAGGAAATTGAGGAAGCCTACTGTTATACTTCCCCTGGACCACCCAAGAAGAAGAAAAAATACAAAATACATGGAGAAAAGGCTAAGAAACCCAGGTTAGCCAATTTTTTTGGTGGTTGCTGGTATTTATGAACAAGCTACTTAAAGAGCTATGTTGGAGAAGACTTCTGAGATTCATTGAGAAAGAGTTCAATTTTCTTAAGTCTGAATGGGCATTGGGGTGGAGGAGAGGGAGATGGGCAATGGAAAGTGGTGGGATTTATGCCAGCATGTGTCATTCTTGTTACAGTTTCATTCTATTTCCTGGCTGTCATAGGAAATTACACCATTCAGAGTAGAATCTATACGCAAAAATACATTATTTTTGGTATTGTTTAAATATTTAAGGTGACATTAATAAAATTACAAAGTTGTAAATACTGCCATTGCTATCTATAGAAAATACCTAGATTGCAATTTTAATCTCCCTCTTAACTATGAACACTGCAGGCGTCTGGGTAACTTTGATCATTCTACTGCTTTTCTCTCAGCCTGGAGGAGGTGCTTTTTACTTATTAAATGACCGAAGACTATGTAAAGGAGCAAAAAAATGTAACTGGTAGCCAGCTTGGGTAATCATTTCCCTTAGTAACCTTGTCCTGGGAGAGGAATAATAGCATGCTGTATCTTTCTTTGGCTCTATTGGCTTTTAAGGCAATATATTCCTAGATATATATCCAATATATATCCTAGTGGTCTAGATGAATCTTTGCTTCTAAGTGTTTAAAAGGAGCACAGCTGTCTTTACCAAACACCATCTAGGCTATCACAAATAATCTTTGCTTGACCTCTAGTCCCTATTTAGGTAAATGCATTGAATCAAGAAGTTGGATTTTATATAAACTTGTTGATTGCCCAGCCCCTAACATTATAGTATGTGCTGGTTGAGTAAGGGAAGAAATTTATTGCTTCCTCAGATCTGCTTATCTTCTCTACTACTATGACATCTACTTGAAAGTGCAGCAAGAGCTTCCCCACCTCCCACAGTCTGAGATCAATAAAAAGATTAGTGAGAGTTGGAGGCTTCTCAGCGTGGCCGAGAGGAGTTACTACTTGGAGAAAGCCAAATTAGAAAAAGAAGGTTTGGATCCTGTAAGTAATTATACCCCCTGTTCTTTTCTTGGGAAGATTTTTATCATTTTACTTTACTTGAGCCTGCCATTATCTGCTTCCATTTTGATGATTTTATGAACTCTGTTGTTCTCTTTGATTGCAACAGTATATAGAGCTGGCATTTTGTAAGTTCTGTGCAGTGAATCTTACTTTACTTTTTGGACTAAATTTTAGTATAATGGAGCTCCTAATTCTCATGGCTAGTTAGTAGCATTTCCTTTTAATATAATAACTTCTGTAAACATTTCCCTTATACTGTGTTTTCATATTATAAAACTCAGTGTAACTTTGTATTACACTGACTGGTATCTTTATAATGTAATCAGGAATTAGGCTTACAGTTAAGATATAGCAGTTTTGTGTAATGTCAGAGTCTTTCTTAATGCTGTTGGTTGTAAATCATGCTAGAAGCAAAAAAAAAAAGGCAAGATTAAAGTTAGAGATGATGGCAGAGTCTGAGACTGAGCTCTTAAATGTGCATTTTAAGAATTAATAAGGAAATAGTTAGATTTATGTCTGCCATTTTATTAGTTCTAGTTCCCATGACAAAATACAGTGATGGTAAACTGGTGATTATTGTTCATTCGTCTTTTGTTTTGTTTTTGTGGCAATACTAGGGCTAGAACTCAGGGCCTCAAGTTCTTGCATGGCTTTTTCTTTCAAACTGAAATTCTTGTTACTGCAAGCTGAATTCTTTTAACTTGAACTCCTCTTTTCAATTTAAATAATTGTCTCAAAATTGTTTTTGATAATGTAGAGAAAAGTTGTTACTTTTGGAAAGTAACAACCACATTATAGCAGAATGTGCTTTATTTTCCCTCCTTGGAGTCCAATTTGTAACTGCCATTTAGATTACATTATCCTTACTAGCTTGACATTCCACTGCCTTAAAAGAGCTTTGTGTAACCTTCACTCTTGAAGATGCACCTCTCTATTCCCTCCTCTAGATGATTTATTTAAAATGAGTTTGAGAATCTCTGTAGAAGAAGTAAAGTCTTAAGAAAATATACCTATTCTCTTTGGTGTCTGCATTATAAAATCAACACTATTAGGAATTGGGAGTATAACTCAATGGCAGAGAACACTTGAGGTTTTCAACCCCTAGAGCCCTACCCTTTCCTATCAGCAGCCATTTTGTCAGAGATAAAATGCTGTCTAATCCTAGAATTATTTGGATTTTAAAACTTTGGAATTAATCATGTGCAATGATTCTTCCTTTCTCCTGTCCTTATTTATATTTACCCATCTCTACTACTACAGCCAAGATGATGACTGAAGTAGCTCTGATAACTCTTCTAAATGAGTGACCTTAATAGAAGTATCATTTAACTTTTTTTTCCAAATATTTCTTTATTGAGATTACATAAATTTCACAATACTGTGGCATACTTAGCTATAAGTCACAGACACCTTATCTTCATCATTATCTTAGTCTTGGTTTCCTCATATGTAAAAACACTTAAAACTATTCATAATTTTTAAAATAGATGATAGAAATCTCTCAGCTGAGTTCTTAACACATTGGCTTGGTCCATAAATGTTGTTGTTAAGTAGATTAAATTAATAATAAGAAAAGTTAGCATTTATTGAACACCTGGAAAGTTCCAACGTCTGAGTGAAGCTTAATGTGCTATATTTGTCCTTCCCCAGATTTCCTGGAGAGTGAAGGTGTATGTCTTGGGAAAGGTGTATGTCTTGGGAGCCTGTTGGCACCCCTGGGGCAAGCTATTCCTTGGTGGCTCTTCAGATCTCCTGCCAAATATGGGGCCTATGGTTCTGTGTTACTCCTTCCAGTCTGCAAAACTAGTGTTATCCTGACTATCCAAGTTTTTCTGTTCTTGGGTTAAGTCCAGACCTTCCTTTGTATGTGCCACCATTTAGTCTTGTTCCTCTAATCTATCTGCTTCAAAGGGTGGTCTAAGAATGCAGTTCTCCATTACTTCAATAAAGGACTCAAGTCAGTTTCTTTTATCTCTAAGTGTTGCCTTTGTGCCCTAAGTAGTCTCATTGACTTCTTACTTTTGATTTCACTAACTTTTTATAATTGACTTGAGTGCTCTTTTTAAAAGATCCTTAATCTTTTGGGGGATGACTTCCCATTTAAGTTGAAATTTTTCAAACAAAAATGCTTTTTCTTGGTGCTAATTAGTTGTACAGGGCTGAATTTCTAGTAGTTGGTCTTGGTCTTTGGAATACCTGATGTGAAATCTAGATCTTTACAATTTACTAATTTTGTGGTTAGGAAATTTAACTCATACCTGTTAGCTTTAATTTTCTTATGTGTTAAATGGGAATAGTGTTAAATGGGAATAATAGTAATAGTGTTGTTTTTAAAGACAAACTTAGATCATGAGTTTAAAAGCATTTTCTAAACGTGTAAGGTACTGTATCAGTGCTAATACCCATTTATCCTTAATATATTCAGGACCTTATCTGATAGCCCTTTGGTAAATACTCTGGATCAGAGTCTTCTCAGTTTTATGATCTGTTTGTCCCCTTCTTTTTTTTTTTTTTTTTGTCGGTCGTGAGGCTTGAACTCTGGGCTTGGGCACTATTGCTCAGCTCTTCAGCTCAAGGTGAGCGCTTTACCAGTTTTCTGGTGGTTTATTGGAGATAAGAGTCTCACAGACTTTCCTGCCTGGACTGGCTTTGAACCGTGATCCTCAGATCTCAGCCTCCTGAGTAGCTAGGATTACAGGCGTGTGCCACCGGTGCCCGGCTTGTCCCCTTCTTTTTTATTTTGTTCTAGTTTTGTTTTTGTTTTGTGCTAGTCCTGGGGTTTGAACTCAGAGCCTGAGCTCTGTCCCTAAGCTTTTTTCTTCAAGGCTAGCACTCTGCTATTTGAGTCACAGTTGCTTTTTGGTGTTTAATGGGAGATGAGTCTCATGGACTTTCCTGCATGGTCTGGCTTTGAACCATGATCCTCAGATCTCAGCCTCCTAAGCAGGAGTTATCAGCACCCAGCTTGTTTCAGTTTCTGAAACAGAGTCTTGTTATGTAGCCCAGGCTAACATTGCCCTTTACTTCCTATCCATGTATTGGGATCACAGACATGTACTACCATTCTTGACTCATCATTCTATGTCAGTCTTCAAGAAACAGATGAATTCAGAATCCTGACTTACTGCCTTCAACTCCCAACTTGCTTTTGGGATTTTTAATGAACATTATCTGCTGCTTAAATTGTACTTTGGAATCCTACAATACCAAAGGTTGAAGGGAACTCATGCATTTCTAGAGTCTTCTTCCTTTTATAAATGTGACAGTTGAGGTCACAAGAAGGGAATGCATTTGCTCAAGACTATACCAGGCCTGGTGTTCCAGGACATAGTTTTAATGCCAAGATAAGTGTTCTGTTCATAGTTCAATCCATGTTATCTGTTTCCTGTGTGATTGAACAAGTAAGGTACATTCATTTAAATGAAAATAATGTTGATGGAGGCCGACCCTGTCTGTTAGCTCAAGAAAGTGTAGCCTGAAATTGGATGCTGTTGTCTCACACCTGTAATCCTAACTACTCAGGAGGTTGAGATCTGAGAGGATTGGAATCTGAAGCCAGTCCGAGCAGTAAACAGTTAACCACTAAAAAGTCTGAAGTAGAGTTGTGGTTTGAGTAATAGCTTTCTAGCCTTGACTAAAAAAGCTAAGGGACAGCACTCAGGCTCTGAGTTGAAGCCTCAGTACCAATACAAAAAAAAAAAAAAAAAAGTGCAGTCTTTTTGGTTATTTTGCAGGGGAAAAAAATGAGCTGATTAGTGTGTATCTGTCTGACCATAGCCCATTTGCTTCTCTCTCTCTTCTGGCTTCGTCATCCTCAGAACTCTAAGCTCTCTGCACTGACTGCTGTGGTTCCAGACATTCCTGGTTTCCGCAAGATCCTACCCCGCTCGGATTATATCATCATCCCCAAGAGCAGCCTACAGGAGGACCGGAGCTGCCCTCAGATAGAGCTATGTATGGCTCAGAACCAGATACCCCCTAAAGGACTTCCTCTTCCGTCCAACACTGTCCCAGAGACAGTTTCCAGTCATGCAAGCATGGCAGAGCAGTGCTTGGCTGTGGAGGCATTGGCTGAAGAGGTGGGAGCCCTTGCTCAGCCAGGTGGTGTACAGGAGATTGCCACCTCAGAGATCCTCAGCCAGGATATGCTTCTGGAGGAGGCTTCCTTGGAGGTAGGGGAGAGCCATCAGCCTTACCAGACAAGCTTGGTAATTGAAGAGACCCTATTGAATGGCTCACCAGACTTTACCCCTGGAAGCCTGGCTATGCCCCACCCCCAAATTGGGGAGAGCGTGTCAGTGGTAACAGTTGTGAGGGTAAGTGGCTTTGGTACTAACGTCTTTTGCTTTACTTGGAGTTACTAACAAGGCAGCCAGCATCACCATGTAGTAATTTTGGAGCCGTGGTCATTTAAAGTGCTGGTATAGCACTTATACTGGCAGTAATTTATCGAGTGCTTCTGACTCTGGGACTTGCTAAAGTTCTCGTCAGTTTCTTTGCTCTGCTCAGCCTACATTTCTATCACCTAAGATGGTACATGAAATAAATAAGTGGAAACAGTATTTAGGTTATCTATAAGGCAAACCCAGGACTTGTCAGGCTATTAACACCATTGTGTTCAAGTCAGTTTCAACAAACAGTTCTTGAATTGTGTATGAAAAACATTCAAAGGAATTCCTGGGCATAGAAAGACAATCAAACTCAGGTTGATAACAGTAACTGAGAAAGACAAGGGAAATCTGTCACACACATACACACTCTCTCTCTCTCTCTCTCTCTCTCTCTCTCTCTCTCTCTCTCTCTCTCTCTCTCTCTCTCTCTCTCTCTCTCTCAAAGGAATTCCTGGGCATAGAAAGACAATCAAACTCAGGTTGATAACAGTAACTGAGAAAGAAAAGGGAAATCTGTCACACACACACTCACGCACGCGCGCCGCGCAACTTTTATCCTGATGGAATAGTTGCCTCGGAAATGAGTATCAAGGCCAGAGCTCTAACACTTTGAGCCACAGTGCCTCTTCCAGTTTTCTGATGGTTAATTGTAGATAAGAGTCTCACAGATTTTCCTGTCCAGGCTGGTTTTGAACCATGATCCTCCGATCTCAGCCTCTTGAGTAGCTAGGATTACAAGTGTGAGCTACTAGCCTAGATGAGAGTCTTTTGGCTCAGCCTTAAGTGACACAACATGCTCTGGGTGGGTAAAGAAAGAAGGTACCCCTACAAAGAAGTCCTTCACAGGTCTAGTCCTTTTTATTATTGTTTTGATGCTGTTTATGAAAAAGGAGTATAATTACAATGAGTTAGGTACTTTAAGAACATCTGCCAAGGTCAGAAGAATTCAATTCTTTTTATGTGATCTTGGACATCTTAAGTCTCCCAGAATTCTAGGGGTTTTTTAAGCTATAAATTGAGGATAGCACATTTTCTCTTGTAGTTTTATCTTTCTTTAGTCTGTTTTGAGATAACCAGACTTCTTTCTTTTGATAAGCAGTTTGGATAAGCATATTGTCTGTGATACTGGACTAGACTGACTGTTCCAAGTGTGTGGGTGGCCTTGGTGTTCTGCACTGTTTCAGTGACACTATCTTTTTCATTTCCCACAGGATTCCAGTGAAGGTAGCTCCTCTGCACCAGCTGCTCAGTTCATCATGGTGCCTCTACCTGCCTACTCAGTAGTGGAGAATCCCAGCTCTATCAAACTGGTTAGTACATGGGGAATAGAAGGCTGAAGCTAGCAAAGACCTTAGTTATTTCATGTATGTTTACAAATTGTGCTTGTATAGTGGAGCTTCCACTAAGCCACGAATCTCCCTCAAGTCATATAAAACTTCTCTTGAAGTTGGTTTCCCTGAAATAGGTTCCATGAATTTTATTAAATTCTTGGAAGCATATATGAGTTTGAAAAAGTAAAGAGTCTCTGATCCAATTAGATACTGTGATTGTACAGATTAGAAAATAGATCCAAAGAAGAGAAAGTACTTCAAGGTCTCTTAAGCTGTAAACCAGAACCAGGATTTTGGTTTCTTTAATCTCGGTATGGATGTTTTTTCTATCATAGGCTACAGCATCTGAGCTGAGATTTACCTCTAAATGTCTTTTTGGTTAGTTATAAATGGTATGTAAAGTACTTCTCAGTATTTGCTCCTGACTAGTATTTTGTAATACAGTTGAGTGTGTGTGTGTGTGTGTGTGTGTGTGTGTGTGTGTGTGTGTGTGTGTGTGTGTGTGTGTGTGTGTGTGTGTGTGTGTGTGTGTGTGTGTGTGTGTGTGTGTGTGTGTGTGTGTGTGTGTGTGTGTGTGTGGTGGGGCTTGAACTCTGGGCCTGTATTCTAACACTTGAGTCCTGACCCTAGCCCTGTTTGTTTTCATTGAAACATTTTTGCTACCATCGTCCTATTTTACTTTCTCTTGTACCAGGGATGACAGGAACCCACCACCAGGCCCAGCTTAATGGTTTAGTTGAGAGTCTTGTTAATGTTGCTTAATACATTGACTAGCCAGGTATGTTACCACAGATCAACATTCATAACCCTGTTTTTAAGTTTGTGTGTGTGTGTGTATACGTGTGCACACTGGTCTTGGGGATTGAACTTAGGGCCTGGGCACTAGTACAATATGCCATTGCTCCCCGTCTTCCTTTGTACATAGGTTACTCTTTGTAATAACTATCAGGACACCTTTTCTGGCAAGCAATGGACTAGGAGATATTCCTAGAGTTTGGGCCTCTTTCTTTTTTTTTTTTTTTTTTTTTAAATTTAATTTAATTTTATTTTTTTGTGAACGTACTGTACAGAGGGGTTACAATTACATGGGCAGGATATGGGGCTCTTTCAACAACCTCTGCCCTGTCTGGCCTGGAGTTACCCCTTCCCATAACCCATTATAACAAGGCTTCAGAGAATGCCACTCATATGCTGAGTCACAGAGTACATGGAAGAGAATGAGAGCCTACTTTGCTGAGTGGTGGATGCCAGGTCTTTAGATAGCAATTATCTCAAACTCATTATTTGCATCAATCTATAGAAAAAAGGGAAGGAGGGCTCATTGCTCAACCGCTGCAAATTCTTAATGGTGATGCATATTGGGGAGCAGTGACACCATTTGCTCTGTGGTGGACTTTACCATTGGACCTACCCAAGCCTCTCCTTGGGGAGGTTCTGCATAGTCTTCAAGTTGCACCTCTTCAAACTCTTGCTTCAACTTTGTAGGTCCCACAGGTCTGAGTGGCCTCAGCAACAGGGGTCTAGGAGGCTGCCAGCATCTTCTCCTGGCATACTGTGTCCTCACTTGCAGGACATAACAGCAGCTCCTTCAGCTCCTCCTCCTTCCTCCACTTCTGGGAAAGCCAGCCTACACACTTATCTTTCTCCTGATACAGATCATCTAGGACTTCTATGTGTTCTTTATAGAAAACTATGGACTCTTCAATGGTGATGATGTGTTCTGACAGCTGGCTGCCTCAATGTTGAGGTCATCCACTTGATTCTGGTAGTCTGCCTTGTCTGACAGGTTGCAGATGAAGCAGAGATTTTCAGCTTCTGGGGCACCTGTGTGTCCTGTCCGTCTCCCCAGAGGGGAAGAGGCCTGGCACTCCAGCTTTCTCTAGCACTAGGCTGCCAGGTGGCCAGGCAACCACAACAGGCTTGCTGCTTCTGCAGCTGCCAGCTGAGCTTCACCTTTCTTTGATTCAGTAATGGATAGTGCTTCTAGGTAAAAATCCCACATTGATTTGTAGGTTGTTTAGATCCTCTGGGACAGTCACATCACGGGTAATTGCCCTTTTACTCCTTCCTACTGTTTTTGTTTTTGTCAGTTGTGAGGCTTGAACTCTGGGCCTGGGTGCTGTCCCTGAGCTCTTTGGCTCAAGGTGAGGCTAATTGGAGATATGAGTCTCTCAGACTTTCCTGCCAGGGCTGGCTTTGAACCATGATCCTCAAATCTCATCCTCCTGAGTAGCTAGGATTATAGACATGAGCCACCAGCATCTGGTCCTTTTCTACTTCTTTGCTAAGGGCTTCACCTTTCCCAGGGAAGGTCAGGAAGCTCAACTGGGCCCACAGCTGTTTGTTCTCATGCCTTGTTGCTTCCAGACACTTCAGTCAGAGTGTCTTGTAACTTTTGAGGTACTGTCAGGCTCTCCAGTTTGGTGTGCACCTGCTCTTTCTTCAACTGTTCCAGCAGCTAGGTCTGCCTCAGCAGGTGCTGCTGCAGGGCCTCCTTCTCTGAGGTCAGCTGCTGACTAGAGGCCATGTGCTAGTGGTTCTCAGCTCCTGCAGATTCTGAGCTGCTTGGCTCTTTAACTCATTCATCTCTTTCTGTTCTTCTGACTTCTCCTCCAGCTGATCTAGCTTCTGCTGATGTTTCTTCACCTGCTGTTCTGAGGGTAGGATGCTGGTAAGCTCCTCCTCCTCACTGCTCAGCCTGTGGAAAGCAACCTGCCTCTAGACCAGCTGATCTTTCAGCTCTCGATTTTGCATCAGTGTGCATCTCATGGTCTCATGTTCTGTTGTCTCGAGGATCTTGTGCTGATCCTCAGCATGCTGATCCCATTGCTCAGTCTTCTTCTCCAGCATCCACAGCCACTGCTGCTGCCCCAGGTTCTGGAGACTGAGGCTCTGGTTCTCCTCCCCCTGGATGTGAATTTGTGTCTCCAGGTACTTGAGCTCCTTCTGCACCTGGAAGACCTGGGCCTGCAGCTGTTGCTCAGCCTGAGATGACCCTTCAGGGAGCTGCAGGGGCAGCATCTCTTGACAGCTGCTTTCTCAGTCCTACCAAGTTGGTCTCTATGTCCAACACCTGCCTCATCCCTTGCTCTCTCTCCTCTTTCAGTTGGCTCATCTGCTCTAGGAGGTGTCTCTCTCCAGCTTTAGTTCTGTCCCTAACTCTTTCATGTTGTCTGGTTGTCTTTTCAACTCTGCCTGCTCTCCTAGTGCTTGTTGAGACTTGTGAATTTTGATCTTCACGTCAGCCTTCTGTGTCAGGAGCACTTCCAGCCTCTCCTGCAGCTCAATGTTGTCTTCCTCCAGGTCTTTATAGCTTTTGGCCTTTGCCTGGAGCTGCATGCAGCTCCATGTCATTCAGGGCTTCAATGCACTCTAGGTTGTTTTTGTTGGTCTTATTCTGCATGGTGGAGACTGCAGACAATGTCATCTCTAGCTCTGTGTTGCACTGCTGTGAAGCTAGCTAGCAAGCAGCTAGCAAGACCTTTGTGTTCCAGTTCTCTTTCATTGGCCACCTGTTACATGTGGGCCAGGGGAGATTGTAAATCTAATTTTTCTGACACCAGCATCTGTATTGCTAGCTTGTGGAGTTCCAGCTCTGTTTTCAGTGCTTCCTGCACACAGATCATCATCTCATTCTCTTTCCTCTGTTGATCCTGCAGGTCTTTCTTTTCATGTTTCAGTTGTTGGATCTCTCTCACTGCAGAGCTGCTGGTTTTTTTGTATTCTGTTGGAATCCAGGGCAAGCGCCAGGTGTTGGCTGCACCTTTCCAGATCCTCTGTGTTATTGAGACCTGTGACCCTCTTGACCCTGGCAGCTCTGACTGTGTCCAAAGGTGGGGGAGGCTCAGGGTCTGTGTGGTCTTTGGCCGCACCCTCAATTGAATTACAGTCCCCAGTGGTGTTATCTTAGAGTCACCTCCTTTATAGCTTTCCTCTTTTTCTGGGATTGTGCAGGTCCATCAGGTCAATTCCTCTGCTGGAATTCTTGCTAGTTTCTTTCCTGCAGCTAATGTTGTTTTTTTGTCTTGTTTTGTTTTTGTCTTGTTTGCTCAGACATACCAGCACTAGGACAGGGAAGAAGTGTGTGCATGGTGGGGTGGTTGTGTGTGTGTGTGTGTGTGTGTGTGTGTGTGTGTGTGTGTGTGTGTGTGGTGTGTGTGTGTGGTGTGTGTGTGTGTGTGGTGGTGTGTGTGTGTGTGTGTGTGTGTGTGTGTGTGTGTGTGTGTGTGTGTGTGGCATGGGAGGCACATTCCTAGGTTCTCTAAAATTACCTCTATTCTTGAAATCACTACCAGTTAACTACTTGTACTGTATCTCCAAAACCACCTCAATTCTCTATCACCACTCAGCACCTCTATCTCACTCAACTGCTGCTAGTGGTGTAACAAGCAGACGGTTATACCAGTGCTACTAGACAGCATGCAATGTGTGTGTGGCCTTTGAGTTCCATTGGTCAGAGAGGAACATGAAAAAGGGGGCTTCCTTCTCCTACAGCCCCATCCCCCATATAACCCTGTTCAGTTTACTCTTGCTAGTTAGATATGTAGTTTTAGAAGTCATATTTTTGTTTTCCCTAATTCAACTGTTATCAACAATTTCCAGCAGGTATTCTACTGCCCTTCAGGAAGTAGCAACAAGAAACATATCTGTTCATGTCATTGTCTTCATGCAGAATTAGGGCTATTGTTCTGACCATATTAACTACTGAGGTTCATAATGGCCTTGATATAACCTGCTTTTCTGGTCATTGTGGCACTGGGGCCTCAGGGACATTACGAGTCCAGAGCTCCTCTCCATTGACCATTCTGTACAGTTAGGCCATGCACAACACAGCAGGTATCCCACACACTGGCTGGTGATTTCAGAGGATTGAAAAACATTCATGGGAGGAATGACATTGAGCATTCCTTGCTGCTGATGTCCAGGAGTATGCCCACACAGCACAGAAAGAATAACAGGCAAATAATTGGAAACAAACATCCAAATGATGTTCAGTGTGTTCCGAATCCATGTTCTGGGGCAGCCCTCAAGCAGTTCAGAGCCCTTGGACAGCTACTTCAGCACTGGAATGATTGGTTGTCCTTCAATGAATAGTTGAAATGACTGGTGAGTTCGTTTTGTTGCCCAGCTTTTTCTTTCAGTTAAAAACTCATGCTGGTTGTGGTAGCACACACTTGAAGTTCTCTCCGCTCAAATCACTTCTTTAGATTTAAGTGTTGTCTCCAGAATTCCACTGTGAAATGTGTGTTACTAGGACCTGGGGTGTCAGAACCTCCTCAGTCCCTCAACTAATATCTTTTTCCAAAATTTTAACAAGTAGGTTGTCTCTATTCAAGCTGTGTTTGATTTCAGTTTTTTTCTTAGCACTTTGGATATAAAAGCAGTTTTTCATTTTACGTTATGAATAGTGACATGTGGATACCTTACAGTCTTTTCAAATACTAAGTGCTAGTCTTTTCTGGTAAATGTTTTCTCCAACAAAATAACACAATTTCAAGAAATGGTAAATGCCATTATATTCTTCCAAATTCCAATAATGTTAGTACTTACAACCATACTCATTATTTCACCATTTATTAAGATTTCTTTTTAAATGTTTACAAAATTTCCTGGTGTTTAAAAACAACATGATAGCATTGAACTACAAAATTAACTTTGGGAATATAGGGAAGTGCTTTTCTAATTTTAAGATCTTACTTTTAAATTGGTTAAAAAATATGGCAAAGTATTTTGAGAGATGGGGGAAAAAAAGAACTTCCAGTTGTGATAACCTTCTAGTTGGAGGGTTTAAGGCATTTGTAGCACTGGGATGAACTAAGCAAACTCGACCATCTAACCTCCACAAACAAAAGAGTTTATGTGTGTGTACATGAGCGAGTATGGGTACCTGTACTGGGGCTTGAACTCAGATGCTGTCCCTTAGCTTTTTCACTTGAGGCTGGCACTCTGCCACTGGATCTAGAGCTTTGCTTCTGGTTTTTTGGTAGTTAATGGGAGATCGTCATGGACTTTCCTTCCTGAGCTGACTTGGCTCCATGATTCTCAGAGCTCAGCCTTCTGAGTAGCTAGGGTTACAGGCATTCACCAATGGTACCCAACAATAATATATATTTTCGACTTAATCACAATCTGTCTGAGCTCCAAAAACTGTTACAGATAAATAATATATTCTTTAGTGTTTTTTGTTCATTCCAAATGGAGCTAACCCAGGCTCCTGGGCTCAAGCAGCCCTCCTGCTCCAGTCCCCTGATTAGCTAGGATTACAGACATACCACTGTCCCTAGCTAATCAGTATATTCTTGGGGTAGGAAAGCTGTAGTATTTTAAAACAGAACAGCCAGTAGAGCTTGATTCATGAGAAACTGCTTATTTTGTGAGCCCTTGTACTCTTGGAAATGACTCATGTTATAGTCCAAAAATTGTGTGAAGGCTAATATAATGCTTGGGACTGAAACATCAGCCTTGAGCTCTATGTAACATTTTATTTTCTAAAGTCAGTTCTATAGCCTATTGCTTAGCAGTATTTTCCAGTTCATGGTAGTTCATTTAGAGCACTAAGTTAAATTATTATTCTGCTTTCAGGAAATATTTCAGAAAATAGTGCATTTGGCCATGGTCTCAGAAATGATTAAAGATACTTTTTATCCTACTAATAAGTGAGTTATAAACCTTAGAATCTTTAGAATTTACTATATGTGTGTATCCTCACTTCTGCTTCATTTGTTTTCAAGACACTCCTGTAAAGTAGGAAGAACAAGTGCTTTTACAGAAGAAACCTAGGGCTCAAGAATTCAGATGACTTATTCTCAGGTCCTTCACTGTGTTGGTGACAGGCAGAGTTAACATTCAGTACCTTTACTCTCTTCTTGGTATCACACCACTTTGCACTCACTCATCCTTGACTTGGTACCACTGTGATTACCTGCTTTTCATAGGCTTCCTGGCAGAGGGAGCTAGGGACAGATTCAGAGTTAAATGAACATTTGTAAAGGACAGAGCAAATCTGACAGGGAAATGTTTTCTTTCTTACATTAGTCTAGGATGTGGATTGAAGCTAAAAAATGGAGTTTCTATTTGTAGCTAAGATGTATTGATTCATTGTAATACATTTTGTTCAAAGGGAGATCCCTTCAAACATCCAGGGACCTGATTTCTGCTCTTGGATTTCCCTCTTTTTTAAGTTTAATTTTTTTTGTTTATGGGTCTATTTGTATATCTCTGGGTCCTTAGTCTTGTCCTCTCTGATTTTTAACTAAAAAAGAAAAAGATTAAGCAGATTGTGTGTGTGTCTGTGTCTGTCTGTCTTGCACTCAAGATCTAGGTACTAGGCACTATACCTGAGTTTTTTGTTCAAAGTTAGTGCTCTACCACTGAATCATGGCTCTACTTGGCTTTTTTTCGGAGGTTAATTGGAGGTAACCATCTCCTTGGGCTGGCTTTTTGAACCACAATTCCCAGGTCTCAGCCCCTCCATAAACTAGAGTTACAGACTTGAGCACTAGCATAGCTTTTTCTTCTTTAAGCATTCAGATCTAGAGAGACTTAACTAGGTAGCAGAAGAAATCTTGGACCAAGATTTCTAGGTATAGATCTGTCCTTGATTCACTATATGGTTTGAGGCAGAACATTTATTCTCAGTCCAAGTGTTAATAAGAATTACTTAGTAGCATTTTTGAAAGTATTAAACAAAATACAAGGATATATTATGTGATACCTTGGCTCAATATCAACCATAACTGCCTTTCTTTTTTCTAATACCTAACTAACTTTGGGCAGCTGTCTTTTCCTCTTTTGAATTTAGTTTCTTTATTTCTAAAAGTGCACTTGTACCTTAGCATCATGTACCTTTACTTGTACCTTTATAATTCTAACCTTTCCTGTTAAACCTAGAATGGCTATTCTGCATTCTGGTAGCCTGATAATGTGTCTGTCATTGTCAACAGGGTCTCATGTTGGGTTGTGGTCTTGATTCTGATACACTTTTTTTTTCAAACAGACTACTACATATACCCGCCGGGGCCATGGGACATGTACCAGCCCAGGTTGCTCTTTTACATATGTCACCAGGCACAAACCACCTAAGTGCCCTACCTGTGGCAACTTCCTAGGAGGGAAGTGGATTCCAAAGGTAAGATACATTGGCCGTTGCCTGACAGAGTATGCTTCCTGTTTCCCTTGGAAACGGATGACTTTTTAAAGAGGGCTTGAATTCAGGGTCTCATGCTTTCACTTGGCTTTCTTGCTCACCACTGGCATGCTACCATTTAAGCCATGCCTACAGTCCTGCATTTTCTGGTTTGTTGGAGGTGTCTCAGCTTCCTGAATAACTTGGATTACAGTCATAAACCACTGGAGCAGAAGAAAATATTTTTTGTCTATGTGTGTGCCAATCCTGGGGCTTGAACTTAGGGCCTTAGCTTTTTTACTCAAGGTTAGCATTCTTCCACTTGAGCCTCAGCTCCATTTCCATTTCTTTTTGGTAGTTAATTGGAGATAAGAGCCTCATGGACTTGTGTGCCCAAACTGGCTTCAAGCCCAATCCTCAAATCTCAGTCTTCTGAGAAGCTAGGATTACAGGTATGAGCTATTGTGACTCTACAAATAATGATTTTCATTTTAAATAGTTTGTTTAAAAGGAAGAAAAATAGAATAAAATGTTTCCCATAATCTTACACTATCCAAATAAAAGCCATGACCAATTAGATTTTATTGTATTTTTGTAATTTTATTTTTTTATTTTTTATTTTTATTTATTTTTTATTGTGAAAATACTGTACAGAGAGGTTACAATTACATGGGCAAGATAATGAGTACATTTCTTATCAAGCATTGTACCTCCTCCTTTGCTTCCCCTTCCCATCTCTTCCCATCCTCCTCCTGCCCCCTGTAACTGGTCGTGGGGCCTGAACTCTGGGCCTGGGCGCTGTCCCTCAGCTCTTCAGCTCAAGGCTAGCACTCTACCACTTGAGCCACAGCGCCACTTCCAGCTTTTTTCTTTTTGCTTATGTGGTGCTGAGGAATCGAACCCAGGGCCTCATGCATGCAAGGCAAGCACTCTACCACTGAGCCACCTTCCCAGCCCCCCCCTGTAATTTTTTTCTATAAATAAATTCTGTATCTTCCTCCCCCTCCACATCTCCCTATTTATTTATATTTTTTTCTGGTCCTGGGGCTTGAACTCAAGGCCTGGGTACTGTCTCTGAGCTTCTGCTCAAGGCCAGCTCTCTACCACTTGAACTGCAGTGCCATTTCTGGACTTTTCTGAAGAGTTTATTGGAGATGTGAATCTCATAGACTTTATTGCCCTGGCTGGCTTCAAACCATGATTCTAGATCTCAGCCTTCTGAATAGGTGGTATTATTGGTGTGAGTCATTGGTGCCTGGCCCCCTTATTTCTTAATTCATTCATTCATTCATTATTTATTTATTTTTGTGGTCCTGGGGCTTGAACTCTGGGCTTGGGTACTGTTCCTGCGCTCTTCAGCTCAAGGCAAGTGCTCTACCACTTGAGCCACAGTGCCACTTCCGGTTTTCAAGTGGTTTATTGGAGATAAGAGTCTCAGGGACTTTCCGGCCCGGACTGGCTTTGCACCATGATCCTCAGATCTCAGCCTCCTGAGTAGCTAGGATTACAGGCGTGAGCCCCGGGCGCCCGGCCTCCCTCCCTTTTTTAAAGGAAAAATATTCATTTATTTGTAGTACTAAGGATTGTAAACAGGGCCTTGCAGATGCCAGGCAAACATTCTCACTGAGCTCCATCTTCATTTGTGTCTTTGTTTTCTCATGTAACTTACTGTGCTATAAAATATTTTTCGCACATATTATCTTCAATTGCTTCATAATTATCCATGAATCACTATTTATCAGAAACATCCTGTTATTATACTCACTTCCTGATAGGACTGAGTATTTAACAATCTACTTCCTACACTGTTTAGGTATTACTCGATCCATAGCATGACTATAAATCTTTTCATTCCTTTGCTTAAAATTCTTTTGTTCTTTACAGCTACTAAAAGTAGATACCTTTAACTCAGTGTAATAATAGTCTTATTGTAACTTTATGATGTATATTCCTTCCTTGTTCCTTTCCTTGTTCCTTTTCTTTGTACTGTAACCCAACTGGTTGATTACGTGTGAAATGCATAAATAATGATGAGTCTTGGCTTCTTGTAAATGTGCATTCTTCCATGGAACATCCCATTTCATGAGGGAAGAATGAGTGCCTTTCATGCTTTACTTGCCTTTAATATTTTTATGAAGCAGTTATCACTATTGAACAGTCTTTGTTCATGTCATTGTGAGAATCTTAATGACACTTGCATCTGCTATAGCTTTTTTTTTGGGGGGGGGGGTCCGGTCATGGGGCTTGAACTCAGGGCCTGAGTGCTGTCCCTCAGCTCTTGAGCTCAAGGCTAGCGCTCTACCACTTGAGCCACAGTGCCACTTCCAGCTTTTTTTCTTTTTGCTTATGTGGTGCTGGGGAATCGAACCCAGGGCCTCAGGCATGCAAGGCAAGCGCTCTACCACTGAGCCACTTTCCCAGCCCTCTGCTATAGCTTTTATCCATAGAAGATGCACAGTAAACAAATGAGAGCATTAGCGTTCAATTTAGCATGTGTTGGCTAACTTGTACATTTGGTACTAACTAGATAAATGTATATATATATACATATATATATATATATATATATATACACACACACACACACATATATATAGTTGCTATATGTCTTTTATGACTTCAAATTTTAGGACAAAATGAATGAAATAGACAATTCTCAAATAGTTCAGAGAGACGAGACAAAAGACTGGAATAGAGAGTTCGTTTGTTTTTTACAAGCAACAGTCTTTCAGGATCAATGGCAAAAAAGGTAAAAAAGGAAAAAGAAGGTATTGTAGTAGAAAGACCTCTACTCAGGCAGGCAAGCCCACCTAGTCATCTGGAGTGTCAGAGACCACCACAACAGTTGTTAGCAAAGAAGCAGCTTTATTGAGAAAGTTCCTACACTGACCACCAGGGCCACGGCACAGGTTCTGGAGTTGATACTGCAACCCTGAACGGCCCACAAATGTAGAGTTTTTAAAGGCAAAAATCCATGCAGTCAAGCCTAGTCTCATGCAGGTGACTAATCGGTTCGCAACACACACAAAGGATTGCAGTCACGTTAGGCCACACACAGGTAGCCAGTGGAGTTAGTCTGTCTTATAGTAGTTGTTTAAACTATCCCATTATTTTGGTTTGAATTGGCGAGCAAATTTGGTCGGCAAAAGGTGGGGTTCGCATTTTGGCAGGCAGAAGGCAGGGAGAAGGCAGGGTTGCTCCAGTAAAGCAGGTGCTGTTGCCAGTTGAGCAAGATTACAATTTATCTGCTTTACTGTTCAGTCTTTAACTGAACAATCAAGGGTGGGTTAGGTTGTTAAGGAAGGGGGACCAGACAGATGCATTTTTTTCATTCTGGGAACTAGGCCTATCCAGTCTAAAATCCCTAAAACAAAGGCAAAGCTCAAAATGCAATCATGCCAGCTTGGGCTCCATCTCAGGGTCCATTTCAGTATTGTTTTTGTGAAAGTTGGCTCAGGCAAGGATTGTGATTGTATTGTGTGTAAGTATGCATTGTTCATTGAAATAATCATCAAGAGAAAAGGAGCTGAATGCCAGTGACTCACACCTATAACCTTAGGATTATACTCAGGAGGCTGAGGATCATAGTTCAAAGCCAGCCTGAACAGAGAAAATTTTGAGATTCCATCTCAAACAGCAAAATATAAAACTGGAGGTATAGTTCAAGTGGTAAAGTGCTAATCATAATTGGAAAAGGCCAAATGAGAGCCCAAGGCCCTGAATTCAAGTCATAGTATTAGCACAAAAAATACACATAAAAAGAGGAGAAAGGCTATGGAGGCTGAGTCTGTGATTGTTTTGGGGTCTGTGGTGAGGCAGCACATCATAATAGGATAGCTGTGTAAAACTGCTCATCTCATGACTAAAAAGTGAAAGGGAGAGGAAGGGACTGGGCTCTCACCTCCCTATGAGAGCATGCCAGTGATCTAAAACCTCCCATTAGATTCCATCTTCTACAGGCCCCACCACCTTGCAGAGGTATCATTTTAAGGAATAAGCCTTAAACCACATGGACTTTGGGAAGATGCCTAATATAGCCAAACAGCAATAATTAATATGATTCTGGAGTTTGCTTCTGCAGTATAAACTCTTTATTTTCCTAGATTTTAGCTTTGTAACCTTGAACAGATCATTTCATGTCTCTGTTCCTTGACTTAGGTTTTTTCTCATCTGTAAGTGGAAGTTAGTTCCTACTCATTAGGATTTGGAGAGTTCAAGAAACTACTCCACCCATGGAGAGTGAGTATAGTAGTTTCTCATGCTTGTCAAATTCTCAGTAAATGTTTCCTGGTTACTATTATAATTGACATTAATGCAGTAGCTCTGTTATTGCTATACATGGGTCAGGACAGATCTAGTGCTAATGTCTCAGGTTTTGTTTCAATTTTGTTTTTTTTTGGGGGGGGGAGGGTCTGGTCGTGGGGACTGAACTCTGGGCCTGGGTGCTGTCCCTCAGTTCTTCAGCTCAAGGCTAGCACTCTACCACTTGAGCCACAGTGCCACTTCCAGCTTTTTTCTTTTTTCTTATGTGGTGCTGAGGAATCGAACCCAGGGCCTCATGCATGCAAGGCAAGCGTTCTACCACTGAGCTATCTTCCCAGCCCTTGTCTCAATTTTTCCTCCAAGCATTAGAAGGAGTGGGTGTGTATTTAACAAGATAGTCAATGAAAATTTTCCCCACCTCAAAAATGACCATCTTAACTACATCACAAAAGCTTATCGAACACCCAACAAGCAAGATCCCAGGAGAAACACTTCTAGGCACATAATAGTAAAAATGATGGATCTGAATAATAAGGAAACAATCCTGCATGCAGCCAAAATGAAGAAGGAGCTATACTACAACGGGAAAAAAATTAGAATCACTGCAGATCTCTCCACACAAACAATGAATGCAAGAAAAGCCTGGGAAAGCACCATACGAGCCCTGAGAGCCAATAACTGCCAACCCAGACTGATATACCCGGCAAAGCTAGCATTCACATTCGATGGAGAACTGAAAA